AGAAGAAGAAGAAGAAGAAGAAGAAGAAGAAGAAGAAGAAGAAGAAGAAGAAGAAGAAGAAGAAGAGAATATGAACATCCCCGGGTAGCTGGAATTAGTTTTGTGATGGACCAAATAGGATGGATTTGAACAAAGAAAGATGTTGCGGTAGAAGGACAGAAAAAGAGCATAGGATATTTAGAAGCATCCAGAAGAACTTACAGGAAAAATTTTAAAAAAAAGATAGTGAGGAGCAAATGACAAGTGAGGAACAAGAAATGAGGCTGGAGAGGCTAGGGCTCCCAGAGAGGCACAAGACAGGCAAGCCACAGCAGATGGATTTTACCACACGTGCAGAGGAAATGTGGGGCCTAGGAAAGAAGGGAGCTCTGGGAGTCCACTGTACACTAGAGGGTCTGTGGTCTGACCATGGTGTCTCCCAAATTCTTACATTGAAACATACCCCAGGGTGACGTTGCTGGGGAGAATTAGGACCCTTATAATATACCTTATGATAATACCCTTATGAAGGAGGCACACGAAAGGACTGGGGACATCACACAGTGCTGGGGCACCTGTTTAGCATACGCTGCAAAGCCCTCAGGGGAGAGAGGGAGGGAGAAGCAGAGACAGGAACACAGAGACAGAGACAGACAGACCAGAGAGCTACCTTACCCCTCCCACCATGCAAGGATACTAGGAGAAAGTACTAGCCATGAAAGAAGTGGCCCTCACCAGACTCAATCTTCGACCTTGACTGTGGGCCCAACTCTAGACCTTGACAAATAAACACATATGGTCTTCAATCCCTGGTTTTTCTTATTTTGTTAGAGTGGCCAGAGTAGATTTAGACTATGGTGGGGCACACAGAGGAACAGAGCTCTGCTCTGAGGCTGACAAACTTGCCTTTGCCTCTGCTATAAAGGGGGGATAGTCATAGTACTCACAGGGGTTGGAATCAAATGGGGAAACTGTGTTGAAAGTACCTATGCTAACGAGGATAGATACCACTGTGAGTTTACAGGTGGGTTATAAAGACCTGAGCCAGGAAACTAACGGTAATGGTGGGAGTACAAAAAGGTGCCAAGCAGTATGGGGTGGCAGGAATGTGCGGCCATGTGACGTTCTAAACCTTGGTAAGAACAATGGGCTTCTGGGAATAGAAAGTTTGTCAGAGACGGGCGTGAATTAAATAGAAGGTTAGTGAGATAACCAACAACACCTTTGGCATTAAGTTCTGCAACACAAAGTGGTGAAGTGAATACTCTGTAGATACACAGTTTCTGTTGGCATTCCCTGTGAAGTTCTGTCAGGGCCCTTATGAGTGCTCATGTCCATCAGCTCGATGGAGTAAGCACTGCTTAAGGCATTAGTGAGGTACATCTCTAAAAGTGTGTGGCTTTGAGAACTCTTTCAGAGTGTTAACTGACTAGGGACAATCTGCCCTGAATGTGGGCTGCAGTGGTCTTGGACCAAATGGAAGAGAACAAGGAGAAAACAGCTCACCACTGGCATTCCTAGACCCACACAGATACAAGCAGGCAGCAGCCTTAGGCTCCTGTTGCTATGACCAACAACTATTTCTGCAGCCAGGCCTTCCCTGCCAAGATGGACCATTTGCTCAAACACAACCAAATAAACCCTTCCTTGTTGAGGGTTAGGCCAACCCAAGGCTTTCCCTGGGACCCTGATGTATGGAGAAGGAACATAGTTCCTTGTCTAAAACTAAAAATGTGTTTGGCATAGCCAGTAATAGCCTGAGGCCAGGACCTTGAGGGAGCTGTGACTTCATCCTGAGAACTCAACTCTTCCTCCCCAAGGTCAGTATATGCTAGGTCTGTGACACACACATCGAGATACTCGTGTTCCCTTCGTGCAGCATTGCTTGATCAGCTTCCTGTGGACTTTGCCCCTCTGTATGATAGTTTTTGGTGACACTATCATATTTTTCCTTTCGGGAAGACTGTATGTATGATGCTGTGTTTCCTAACAAACATGCTTGGCATAAGACAGAGTTCCTGAAAGATCTCCTGACCCCAGATTTCCAACCTTCTTTATCTTCTCATCCTCTGGCCATCCTCCTTAGCAGCCTGCCCCTGAAGAATGACCTGTTGGTCCATGTCACTTCCTCTTACTTTGCTGCTTGTCACAACTTTGGTCCCAACTTAGCTGCACTCTCCACACACAGTCAGCCATTTTGCACCCCACCACTCCTCCCCACCTGTCTTAGTTAGGGTTTCTATGGCTGTGAAGAGACACCATGGCCATGGCAATTCTTATAAAAGAAATCATTACCCTGGAGCTGGCTTACAGTTTTAGAGATTTAGTCCCTCATCATCATGACAGAAAACACGGAGGCATGCAGGCAGTCATGGTGCTAAAGGAGCTGAGAGTTCTATATCTTGATCCACAGGCAACGGAAGTGACAGTGACTTGAGCTTCTGAGACCTCAAAGGTATCAGGAAAGTGCCATACCGTATTTGGGCCTCAGTTCCATTCTTTCCTGTTCATCCATATTGTCTAGGATGGTGTACTTTGTTTTTTTTCGTATCTTAGTCCTTTTCTGTCTGGGAGAAAAAAAAAAAAAACAACAACAATAAAATGCTCAGCTAAAATGCTTGGAATGGTAGCTGGAATCTTTCCCACCTAACTAAAAGGTTCCCCTGAGCCTGAGGTGCTAGAGGCCCAACATCTGCATATAGACCAGGCAGGTTTGCCCAGGACTAATGCCTCATTCAGAAAGACCTGGCTGAGCAAGATTCCTCCAAATCAATGCTAACCAAGAATGTTCAGAGACACAAGACTAAAACCAGCAACTGGAGGGAGGGATCCACAGAGGAGATGAGGCTCTGGAGCCCACACTTATCTTAGAAATAACTCTGTCTTTCATTTTCCCCTCAAGATATAAAAAATGGGCTGATCCTTTTTGAGCCTAACATTGAGCTGCAATGGATCATTTGAAAACACTTATTAAAATGACAGGAAACTCAGAAAGCAGAGGCAGGCAGATCTCTATGAGTGTGAGATCAGGCTGCCCAGAACCCAGGGCTGTATAGTGAGACACTGTCTCAAAACAGACAGACAGACAGACCACTACACTGCGGTGTGCATCATTCAGGCAAAAGTTGTTCTGATTGCGTGTCATTAAGTGCAAGGCCTCTTGTCCTCAGTTAAGTGTTTGCTAGCTGGAGACTTTGAGAGTATTGCTTAAGACTTCTGTGTCCCATACCCCAGTATTCAGAAGGGACCCTTTCTCCTCTGGTTGCTGGGAGGGCCAAACACAACCGTACAGTTAGAACCATCATTATGCATCAAAATGGCAAATGTTCAAGGCCAGCACAATCTATTTGCAATACATGAGTCTCAGCTATAGAGTGTTTAAAGTCACACTCAGTAGGGACCCTATCACACATGGTTCGGGGAATGCAATCACAAGTAAAACTCAAGTAAATTAGGTGTAATGTGTGATAACAGCTATTAGTTTCAGTATGCCACTTTAAACGGGCATCTTTAGACAACACAGCGTTTCATATAGGAAAATGGGCTTACTTGCTTCTGAGGTCTAATGATATCTTTCCTCAAAAATCTCCTCATAAGGGCTAAGCATGGGGTTCTGGGAGATTCTAACAGGAGGCAGCCCAGGGGATTCTCAGAAGTCACTGAAAAACCTAGAGCAAAGGGTCCCTTGGGTGCTCCATAGCCTCTCTTCAAGTTTTCGGTGGACTAAAGGATCCAGACTGATCCAGTTGCTGCTTTATATAACCAAGTCTACAAATTAGACCCACACATTTCTACAATGTCTTTCTCTGCTGAAACATGTAAGGCCACCTGGGCACTGATCTAGTGAACATGGGAGACAGAGATTACTCTTCGATTTGGGGGGGTAGGGATATAGCTTAAGGGTAGAGTGCCTACCTGGCACATGGAAGACACTAGGTTCAATTCCTACCACATATATACATATATGTAAATGTATGTATATGTGTGTGTCCAGTTTGTTTTTAAAACTGGTTGGTTGCCAGTTAGTTAGGCGGGGAAACAAACCCAGGCCAAACAAGCCCAAAACTCTCCATCACCCCAGCGAAGGGTCTTCTTTTCACACAATAAACGAGCACATTAGGTACCTCCGGCAGCAGCAGAGGCACAGCCAAATCACAGCTCCAGTTAGCACCGTCAGGGTCAGTGCCAGCACTGCCACGTAGAATACACTCCATTCTGCAAAGGGAGAGGGGCCAGCGCGCACAGTGATGAATGGTTTGCTAAACATCTTTGTTCCGACAACTCACATTGAGTCTGCTTGAGCAGAGGCCAGCTGTGGTGCCAGGACCACTGTGTGGGGCAGACAACAGAGCCTGGCCAGGTGCCAATCAGGACAACAGACTGATGGCTTTGTCTATCTGAATGAAGCACACAACTCAAGGACCTCAGGCACATAGTTCAGGCTGACTTGAGAATAGGAAATCCAAAGCAAATGAAGTGAATTGGTGAGACTATTCCCCCTACACACAAATATATTAAATATTAAAATGCTCATCACAGAATTCTGAGAAGCATAACCATTCCCCCTGTATGGCATATCTTCTCCTTCTTCTTCCTCTTCCATTTTCTCTCCTGCTCCTCCTCTTTCAGGCAGGCTGTCATGCAACACAGGCTGGTCTTGAATACAGTACATACCCAAGGATAGTCTTGAACTTCTGATCCTCCTACTTTACATCCCCAGGGCTTGGATGACAGGTGTGCCCCCTACACCTGTTTTATGTGGTGTGGAAGATAGAGTCAAGGGCTTTGGCTATGTCAGGCAAGCACTCGTCCTACAAAGCTATATCCCCAGACCCATGTCACAGTCTTCATAAAACAAGCCATGGGTCTGTATGGCTGTAGCATGAAGACATCTGTCACAACCAGAGGTCAATTTGGGAACTACTCTTCATTCTTTCTATATCCTAAGTTTTATAGTAATAACTTAGGGGCAAAAATGCCAATGGGTGCCCAAGACAATGGCACATGCTTTTACTCCCAGCACTTGGAAGGCAGAGGCAGGCAGATCTCTGTGAGTTCGAGGCCAGCCTGATCTACATAAAGAGTTCTAGGACAGCAAGAACAACATAGAGGGGCCCTGTCTCAAAAACAAAAACAAGCAAGCCAAAACACCATCGGGACAGAGACTCATGCTTAACCTGATTAAATATCATGCCATCTTTCTAGAATACTGACCTAAAGCTGGTTTCATTTCTGATGTTTGGGGTAGGGGGATTTAAGCAGGACACAGCTTGGCAGACAGCTCTCAAGATCTTTCTGCCATGTATATCCATCAGGATTCCCAGGATGGCACATTTATTCTTAGGGGTTGACTGCAATTAACATAGACTTTTCTAGCTGAGTATGCTGGTTCAAATATGTAATACTAGCACTCAGAAAGTGGAAGCAAAAGGACCGGGAGTTCAAGGTTATCCTTTGCTTTCTAGAGAAATCAGAGTCAGAGTGGACTATATGAAACCCTGGCTCAAAAAATCTAAAACAAAACAAACAAACATATATGTATGCATACACCAAGTGCACCTCCATGGGCTGTGGGGGAAGACTGATTCCGTGACTGGTACCTACTTGGGCTGACTCCTAGCAGTGTGGGCCACATTTCCCATTTTGTATTGGCCCAGCAGAGTACCTAGAGGGTGTGTCATAATAAGGTCCTAACACCCTAAGCCTCAGGAGGCAACTTCTCAAAGCATTTGTTTTTTAGAACTGCCCTGCCAAACCTATCTCACAGGAGGCTTTGCAGACGAGTCTCCAGAGACAGACCGGCACAAGGTTTTAATGTACAACCAAGTGACATGGTTCACTAAGCTTCAGGGAAGGATGGGGTTGGATGGTTCTAGATGCTAAGTCAGGAAGAAATGAGTTCCTTCAAGAACTACATTGGAAGCCGCCACCACACACACACACACCACTCACCACAGTTGCTCTCGCCATCCCACATATAACGCTGGATGACGTTCTCCATCCACAGCTGGGAGCAAACGCAGTGCTTTGTGATGGGGTCGCAGTGACCATGACCTGAGCATTTGAGAAGGCATCCTGTAAGAAGCAGTGCAGAGTTGAGGTTACCTTGGAGAAAGGAGGGCCTCTGCTTTCCACTTCCATAGTGGAGGCCAAGAACAAATGGGTGAATTAAAAATTTCCTAAGAAATCAAGTGTAGTAATGCATACCCTTAATCCCAGCACTTGGGAGACAGAGGCAGTTGGATCTCTGAGTTTTGGTCCAGCCTAGTCTACAAAGTGGGTTCCAAGACAGCCAAGGCTACAGAGAGAAGCCTTGTCTCAAATAAAATAAAAGAAACAGATCTTATGAGCCAAGCATGGCAGCACATACCTAAAATCCTAGCACTCAGGAGGCTGAAGCAGGAAGATTTCAGCAGGTTTGAGGCTAGTCTTGGCTACACAGAAAGCACCAGGTTACCCTGTCTCAGCCCTCCCTCACTATCACCACCACAACAGGAGCTTAAAATCTCACTCTTTACAAGAACATCAGGAAGCAAATGTAGGGAAAAGCCAATCTATATCATAGAAAGAGCCTCAGCATTTATCAAAATAATATCCTCTAGGAACACATGCAATTAAAACAATTGGGTGTGCACAGCAGATTGTCTTTATTGGAGCACCATTTAAAGTCATTCCTACAGTCCACAGGTAGAATGGTTGCATGATTACAGAACACATCTGGGGAGGAATATCAGGCAGCCAAGAATGTCTCATGGAAAAGAAATTCTAAAGGATTTGAGGAAATAATAATGGTATAATTTAAAGTCTAAAGACACCTGGCAAGAGCTATGCTATAACTCAGTAGTAGAGCACTTTGCCTAACTTGTGTAAGACACTAAATTAAGTACCCAGAAACACACACACACACACACACACACACACACACACACACACACACTAAAAACTTATCAAATCATCATGACCATATTATTTTCCCTAAAGATGGAGCAGCGTGGAAGAAATACAACAGAATAGTGACAAAAGTTATATTTGGAGGATAGGAATTCTAAATTCTACAAACTAGAAGACTGTTTTCTTCTTTGTCCCTTTCAGAATTCATTTTTTTTCCAGGACAGGGTTTCTCTGTATAGCTCTGGCTTCCCTGGAACTCACTTTGTAGACCAGGTTGGCCTTGAACTCAGAGATCTGCCTGCCTTTGCTCCTGAGTACTGTGATTAAAGGCATGTACTACCAACTCTGAAATTTTCCACAATAAATAAATCACTGCTCTGGGCTCTAGAAAAACAAAATACTTTACTTTGAACAAAACTGTTTTTGTTACTCCACGTTATGAATGTGAATGTCAATTGTAGACAAACACGTATCTGAGACAAATTAAATTTGTGCGAAGTGTTATATTCCAGAAACTTATTGAGATGACTATGTCCATGAACATTTACTCATGAGATGAGGACAGGAACCATGGACCTATGAACCAGTCTGATGTTCTGAAGGGACAAGCAGTGCTAAAAAGAGAAATGTGGTTACAATTGGAAGACACCTGTAAGCTATTTTAAATTGGCAGAAAATTTCTTTGAAACGATGTATGACACTACTGCGCTCCTATCTCCTTCCAAGACAAGAGTAGTCGGTAAATGTGCCACAGAGAACCTACTGGAGAAACAATTTCAGAGTCTCCAGGGGTTGGAAAGAGAACACCTCCATTAGAAGCCTTTCCTGTTTCTGTGGCCAGATTCCTGAATTTAAAAGGGGAAGGACTCAGAGTTCAAAGGGATACAGTACTTCATGGCAGAGGAGGATTGGCCACAGGACTGAAAGGCAGATGCTCACATGGCTCTACAGTGATGAAGCAGGGAGTGTTAACTGGAGGGTGAGGGGCTAAAGAATCCCAAGACCTTCCCCCAGAGTCCAAGTCCACCTCTTTCAGCAAGACTCCATTCCTAAAAGTTCCACAATATTCCATACAGTGCCATCAACTGGGGGGAGATTTTACATTCAAACTACAACGGTGTCCATGTTGTGCCTATAAAACTCATCCATGATTGGCAAGTCTGACTTTTTTATTATAACGTCTCCACGTACCTGCTGTGTCTATCCTCAAGACCTTGAAGAGCAGGAAGGCTGCCTTCTCCTTTGAAAGCCGCTTGTGCAGACTCCGGGCCACGTCAACAGCTCTGAGAACCTTGAAAGGTGGCCCACTCTGTACGTAAAACACAATCACAGTGCTGCAGAAGACACAGAGAAACCACAGTCACATCACTGGACAGTGGCCAGCACGGTTTCACCTCAGCCATCTGACCTGTGCAGTTTGTAAAGGAGACCACTACAGCTCTGTGATAAAATTCATTTATATTGCCAAATAATATTGCATTGGATGTGAATATATTTCTCTGTGTGTGTTTAAGTAATTTGTATGATTTGTTTGTATTTGGGTGTACACATGGAGGTCAAAGATCAACTTTGAGTGTCCTTCCTCAGAAGCCATCCAGCTTTTTGTTTTTTGTTTTTAATGAAACAGCATCTTTCTTTTTAAAAGCGGTGGGGGATTACTTGTTTATTTATGCATTTATTTTATGTGCGTGGCTACATGTGTATCTGTGTACCACTTGTGTGCCTAGTGCCTACAGAGGCCAGAAGAGGGCATCAGATTCCCTCTCTGGAGTTCCAGAGAGTTGTGAGCTGCCATGTGGGTGCTGGGAAACAAACCCATATCTTCTGAAAGGCAGCCAGGTCTCTTAACTCCTGAGCCATCTTGACAGAGCCTGCAACAGGTTTCACTGGAGCCCTGGGGCTCATTGATTAAGCAAGACTGGATGACCAGTGAGCCCCAAGGATCCCTCCCCAAACCTTCCCCTCCCCCCACCCCCGCCCCACTACCACATTCAACCACCACTGTAGGTTAAATAAGAATGTTCCTTGAAGTCGGGGGCGGGGAGGGGGAGGGCTGTGGGTGTGATGGCACACATCTGTAATTCCAGTATGCAGGGAGTTGGGGGCAGGCAGATCACTGTGAGTTTGATGCCAGCCTGATCTACAAAGCGAGCCCAGGACAGCCAGGGCTACACAGAGAAACCCTGTTTCAAAACACAAAGCAAACAACAACAAAAATCTCCCCATAGGCTCAAGTATTTGAACACAGTGGTCCCAGTTGGTAATGCTGTTTGGGTTTCTAAGTGGTTCAACCTTCCTGGAAAAAGTACATCACTGAGAGCAGGCTGTGAGAATTATAGCCTACTCCACTTCCAGTCACTCCTAACTTTATATTTGTGGTTGAAGATGTGATTTCTTAGCTTACTGCTCCTTTCATCAGGCCTGCTGCTCGCTGCCATGCCTCGGGCATGATGGAGTCTTAGCCCTCCAAAATGGAAAGCTTAAAATAGACCCTGTCTTCCATAAATTGCTCTTTTGGTCATCGTATTTCATCACTACAGGAGAGTTATTACTGTTGGCTGTTAATGCCAACTGAAGCAGCAGGTTTGCAGGGGACTCCCTTTGTAAACTGTATGCTTTGTAAACCCTCAAGGCAGGAAAGTGGCCAGCAGTCAGGTTCCTCCCCAAGGCCTCTTAGTTTTAACAGCCTCTAACTGTCACCAAGGTTATCTCTAGCCCCTCAATAGGACCCTTCCCAGATTATGCTGATTTTGAGTGAAATAACTGGATAAAAAGTCACCAATCCCTGAGTATCCCACAGGAACCCACCAATCCCTCAGCAGAAAAACTGACCAATCCCTGAACAGGAAAACCCACCAATCCCTGCGCTCCCCCGACCTCAAGACTTGAAATCTCACCAATCCTCACCCTGGAAATCTCTGCCCTAGAAAGCTCCATCTCCTAGGAAATCCTATAGAAAGGCTGTGTCTTCTCAGTTCCCTGCTGTTCTCTGCTAGGAGCAGGGGCACCCAACCCTTGAGTTTGTTCCTCCACACCCTTTACCTTCCCAACAAATCTCTTGTGAGATTTGCTCCCTGGTGTGACTTTCACTGGAAGAACCCCAGAAGAGAAGAAGAAGAAGCAAAGAGGGGGGACAGGGCTGAGGCTATTGAACTACTCGGCTCAACTGGAGATACCCTCCTCCAGGAGCTGCAACACTTCTGTCAAGGAGGCCTCCTCTCAGAGCTATGTGTTCCCGGGCTCCTGAGTCAAAGGACACCATTCCATCAGAGCAGAAAGGCCAACAATTACTACAGCCACCACCCTGCCCAGTTTTTCCTCCTTACAGTTATTTGACTGTGTGGGAGTGGGGGTTAGACACATGGAGGTCAGAGGACATTCTCCTTCCACCATGTGGTACCTAGGGGTTAAACTCAGGCCATCAGTCCCAGTGGCAGGTGCCTTTCCTTGCTGAGCGTTTTGCTGGCCCTTTTGTCCAGATTCTTACTTTAGGTCTGGATCAGACTCAGGTCTTCACGCTTACACGGTAGAACCCTTACCAACAGAGCTAATTCCCCACTTGCCATATATCACTTCTATCCGTTGACGGTCATTTAGGTTGTTTACACTCTGGCTATCATGAATCTGTGCTGTGAATACCCACAGATATTTTTTAATGTAGATGTGAGGTTTATAGTCCCCTCAATTACATAGTTAACATTCTATAGCTAACTTTTTTTTTTTACAGTGGCTGTTCCATTTTACATCTGTGCCAGCAACACACAGTGCTCCAAACAGTTGCCGTAGTCTGACCTTTAGATTATAGCCATCTTACGGGCAGGCAATGAACAGGTTTGAAAAGATCAGTGCATGCGTGTGGCTATGCCTACATGTGCTGTGGTACACATGTGGAGATCAGAGGACAACTTACGGGAATTAGTTCCCTCCTCTACTACGTCAGTGCTGATGGTTGAATTCAGGTCTTCAGGCTTGGTGGCAGCAGCCCTGCCTTCCTAAGCCATCTTTAAGCCCTGGGAGGGGTTTTGCTTGGCATTTCCTTAAACACTATGGATGGTGACCTGAATGGCACCCCTACAACTTCTCTACAGAAACACAATCTCAGGCCTGTGTGAGTTTCCCGGGACTACGGCAAACAAGTTCCACAACTTAGTCACTGAAAACAGCAATCACTTGTCTCGAGGTTCTGGACAGCCAAAGCCCCCAGTCAAAGTGTGTGCGGTGCCCTGCTCTCCGGTGCTCTGTGGGAAGGTGCGCCACACACCTTTCTCTTGGCTTTCGTGTGCTCCTGGACGCTGGGCTTATAGACACATCAGTACTGCCTGTGCCTCGTTATTACCTGGCACTCTTCTCACGTCTCTCCCTGTACGTCTCTCACTCGTGTGTGTGCCTGTGAGGTGTGTTCAGTTGTGCATGGGCAGGTGTTTGTGCAGGCGTGCATGTTGAGACCAGACTACTCAGCACCAGCTTGAATACTCTATCGTCATCAAATCCCCTCTTCCTAACAAACTAATCTGTTAGCTATAAATTCAACTTCATTCAAGTTTTTAGGACATGGGCAGAATTGAACTAGATTCTGGAGGAAAAAAAATCACATATGGGCCCTATCCCAGGTCCTAATAAAAGTTTTTTTTTTTTTTTTTTTTTTTTTTTTTTCTGAAATCTTAAGGGAGAATGGGTTTGTGGCTTGAGCAAGTCCGGGTAGCAAGAGCTTAGGGCAGCTGCTACACCTGCGGTCAAAAAGTAGAAAATAATGAGCTACCTGGGATTAGCTCGCTTTCTCCTCTTTACCCAGAATCCTCTGCCTGGGGAACTGTACCACCACAGTGCACAGGTCCTTCCATCTCAATAAACTGAACCAAAACAATTGTTCAACCGACAAGTCTCCTAGCTGATTTTTGAGATCAAGTTGACAACTAAAATTAACAATCTCAGCTTGTGTCTTAGGGTTGACTGCTGTGAAGAGTCATCATGACCACAGCAACTCTTATAAAGGAAAACATTTAATTGAGATGGCTTACAGTTCAGAGGTTTGTGTCCATTATCGTCATGCCCTGAAGCATAGCGACATGCAGGCAGACATGGTTCTGGAGAAGGATCTGCAGTTCTACATCTTCCTGTAGGCTGCAGGAAGAGACAATGCCACGCTGGGCCTGACTTAAGCATATGAGACCTAAATGCCACAATGACATATTTTCTCCAACAAGGCCACATCTCCTAATAGTGCCACTTCCTATGGATCAAATATTCAAACACATGAGTCTATGAGGGCCGTTCCTACTCAAACCACCACAGCTTGTGATAGCCCAACGTCTGGTACAAACTGTTTCCAACAACCCAAGCTCAAGAACTTAAAATTAGTACTAACCATGATTCCAACATTGTTTAACACTTGCTCCATGCCCCAGAAAGGCATCTATCTAAACCCAAAATATTTTTATCGTGAAGAGATGCTAAACTTTACCAAAATCTTTTTTTATAGCTACTGACATGACTATATGGATCTTTTATTTTTAAGATTTTATTTATATTTTCAACTATGTGGATATGTTGGGGGTGGTGTGAGTGCATGTTTCTATGGAAGTCAAAAGAGGCCTTTGGCATCCCTGAATCTGGAGGTTTAAGAGGTTATAAGCTGCCCAATATGGGTACTGGAAAACACTGGTTCTCTGAAAGGGTGTACTATATATTCTTAATTGCTGAGTGGTCTCAATAGTAGGACACTTACCATGTACAAGGTCCTGGCTTCCATCTACAGCACCATAATTAGTTAATTAGAACACATTTTCATTAGTCACTTTTCTAAGTAAATTTCACTTCTCTGGAAAACCAACCCAGACAGAGGAGCCAACAAGAGCTACGAAATGTACTTCCTGCAGTGGTGGATGTTAATCACCTTGTTCCTTCTATTCTCCTGTCCTATGCTAATGCTGGTTTGGTGGGCTTTAAAAACAAAACTCAGTTAAATACAAAAATCTGGTGGTGGTGACAGGCTACATAGACTCCTTAAAGACAGCGAGTGGTGCTGAGCCATCTCTCCACACAGAGGAGTATTGCAGAACAACTTCTTCACAAGCCCAGGCCACTGGCTTTCAGAAGCTAGCAGAGATACAATGTCATCTCCCTTTGATGTGCCCTAAGTGTTTCATTCAGAACACTCTCAGCCAACCAGCCTTTACCAGGACCAGAGAGAAGGGCCTAGAATGACTTGAAGGAAAACAATTGAGGAATATGAATATGATAAAAAGTGAACAAGGAAGAAAGCAAGGAGGAGGATGGCCTGGGAGAGAGCAGAGCAGGCCTGCAGCAAGCCTGGCACCTGAGTGAGGCCCCGAGCTGGGTAGGTATGTGACGCCTGAGTGCCACCACGTGCTGGGCATGCGGCCTCGTACCTGACATCCGTGTGAGCCTGGATCTTCAACACCTTCACGTCTGAGTCTAGCACATTGAGAAGTGCAGCCAGCTGCCTCACTAAGGTTTCCTTCTGCTGCTCCGTCAGCTGCTCAACACCAACCTGCAGGATCAGTTCCACTAGGCCATCCTTCTTGGGGTCTAAGGAGAGAGAACACCAGATTTTCACGGGAGCTCACAGGCTTGGCAAGGTCAGCGGCAGGATCTGTGGAAGAAGGGTTCAAAGCTAGGCTGGCCATGTGGCTCGGGGAAGGGCGCTGGCCCTGTACCCACAGACCCTGGGTCCCGTGCCCAGCACAGCAGAAGTAAGGTCAGAAAATAAGCAAGTAAATGCTTGAAAGAACTGTCGCGCATCTTTTACACTTAGCTTTAAGGGCTCAGATCATTCTGAGTAGCAAAGGGGTGGGTGAGGTAGCACGCTCCTGCAAGAGCAGCACTTGGGGGCTGTGGGGGCACGGGGATTAAAAATTCAAAGTCATCCTTCATACAGTGAGTTCAAGGCTAACCTGGATCACATGAAACTATTGCGAGCGAGAGAGCGACTGAGAGAGAGGAGAAAGAAAGAAAGAAAGAAAGAAAGAAAGAAAGAAAGAAAGAAAGAAAGAAAGAAAGAAAGAAAGAAGGGCTGGAGAAATGGCTCAGCAGTTAAGAGCACTGACTGCTCTTCAAGAGGACCTTGGTTCAATTTCCAGCACCCACATGGCAGCTCGTAACTGTCTGTCATTCTAAGATCTGAAACCTTCACACAGATATAGATGCAGGCAAAATACTAATGCACATAAAAATGAAAATAAAATTTAAAAAATTATAAAAGAAGGAAAGAGAGAAAGAAAGAAAGAAAGAAAGAAAGAAAGAAAGAAAGAAAGAAAGAAAGAAAGAAAAGAGAGGGAAGGAGGGAGGAAAGGAGGATCGGACACCAGAGCAGTCACTCTGCAATATTCTTTCCAATTTTATTCCACTTTGTTATCTAGTAGTTCTTCCCTCCAAAAATAACCACCTGTACCTTTTCTTTATTTTGAAACCTGGCACCTCATTCACTCCCCAGAACCTGAGAGCACTGGCCTCCTGCTCGTGGGTGCCACCTAGTCCAGATTACACTCAGCGTCACTGTGCTCACCTTACTGAGGCTGTCTTCTGAGCATGTTCACTTCATGTTAAATCAGGAAGGCATAGTCTATCTGCCATATATAATTCTCACTGATGAGGTACAAGTTGGGATCTGCTTGGTGGTATAAAAGAAAGTATAAAAAATCCTAGAGCGGGCCCCAGAGTTGGCTCTGTGGTTAAGGGCCCACATTGCTCTTCTAAGTTCAATTCCCAGCACCCCACACCCAATGGTTCATAACTGCAACTCCAATTCTAGGGGATCTCACGCCCTCTTCTGGGCTCCGAGAACACTACATTTATGTGCACAAAATCACACTCAGACAGAAGCACACACTTTTTTTTTTTAATTAAAAAGAAAACTAGTAAACTGAGGCTGTCCAGGAGCAGAAGCTAGAAACAGGCGGCCTGCTACTGCAGTGACATCAGCTCAGCACACACCTGGCAGCACCTCCACCGTGGCTGTGTCTGAGTCCGAGGCCCCCTGACTGTCGGTGACTTGCAAGTGGAAAGAATAAACTCCCTCCACCAGATTGGTGAGCTGCAGAGCCGCCCTGCTCTCAGAGCCTCCAACGACGTCCTGAGAAGCAAAAGGATGGGCCACAGGGCAGCTGTCAGTCTTGTGCCCAGTTTCTGAGCCTTTGTGGAGCTCAGCGCTCTGAGTTCCTTGCTTCCTGGTGTTTATAACTTAGATGGCTGGAAGAAAGGGGAGGGGTGAAGAGGCAGGGCTGAGGTTCTGACTCCTCAGCTCCTCTTTATGGGGAACACCAGGGGTTTGAGGGCTCCACTCAAGATGTGGTAAGCTGAATTTTCCAGGAATTACTAGATGATTAAACAAATAGAGGGAGATTGGTGAACTTAGGTTGAAAGCCTCAGGGCAAAGCATGCAGTTTCATGGTGGCATTGTGTAGTATAGCTTTATAATGCTCTCACCTCAGGTTCCCCCTCATAGCAAATCATATCACCTTCTCAAGTGACCCCAGGCCTTGGTAATCAGATCACTCATTCTATGGGCCCATAGCTCCAAAAAGTGAAGGAAGAATTTTTGGACTCTGTCTGTACTTGCTGTCCAGAACGGAGGGCAATGAAAAGTCAGGAAACCAAACTGAGACATACTGCAATTATATTTAGAAGCTAATCTACCATCTAGCTGAACAGAATCCATTCTAGGAGTACTTTAGAACATATAAGGTGTTTCCAGTCCCCTCCCCATGATATTTACAAGAGTGCTCCTGTAGATCTCAAGTCCTTAACAATGGAGAAAAGGATATGTATGGAAATTTATAATCTATGAGGCAGAGTCTTACTACGGCTTCCAAAAGCTGAAAGTCTTGGTTTGCCTGATTTAAGGCTAAGCTCCTTGGCATTGGCCAAGTCACTTTCCATCTCTGTATTTACTCTCCGCCTCTGTGAAGTGGAAACAGGAATCTTCATGTATCTGACATACATGATACATGGAGGAAGACTAAAATAGGAAGCTGAAAAGTAGAAGGGCTCCCGCTGGGAAGCTTGGCTTCCCATGTCCCTCATGGTGGCAACCTTTTGACATTGTGACCTGATGTTGTCATCTACAGATGTGTTGGGTTACATTTATAGCTGTTGTGGGACACAAGGGGCCTGAATGCCATGAGTGAGACACAGCTGCATGATTTCCTATCCCACCCAAGGTCAGACCAGGGCAGACTTCAGCTTTGCATAAATCTAACAGGAGCCCTCAGAACATGCAAAGCCAGAGGCCCACAAATCTTATCTGGGAGACGACACAGTAAGAGAGAGAACAGATGTTCAAGTCCCAATCTGCAATGTGACCTAAAGTAAGAACTTAGAAGGAGGTGATTAAAGTTAAATGAGGTTATAGTGGTGGGGTCTGACCCACAGGCCTGTTGTTCTTATAAAAGAGACGTGAGAGCAGCTCCCCCATCTCTTTCCTCCTTTCTTGCCCTGCCACGTAGGTAGGTAGCCATCCAGGAGATCCCTCACCAAAGGTAAACTGGATGGCAGCTTGGTCCTGGTTTTCCAGTCTCCAGAACTATGAGAAAATAATTTTCTGAGCAAGTCATCCCCCATGTGGTCTTTTGTCACGGCAGAGGTTACTGACTAATCTGGATGCAGGGCGCACAGCTGAAGGGCACCGCCCTTCAAGTACTCACTCCAGCGGCTGGACTCTGGCCATCCCGGATCCACAGATAGGACACAATGCCTCGGTCATCGGTAGACCTTGAACCATCCAAAGTAATGGAATTATTGGGAAGTCTAAGAACATGTCTGCCACCAGCCCGGGCTCTGGGAGGGCTATTATTTTCTACGTCAGACATAGTAAAAACAAAAGCAAAGAAATTGACTTAAAACACTAGTGATGACATGTCATTAAACATCCACAGCTGCTCCACCTTGCAGCCAAGGTTTAGATACCCCAAAGCATTACTTTCCCTCCCCAAATACCTTCAAGATAAGATACAGATATAGACGTTGAGCAGCTCTTTGTCCAGTAGGAAGACAGACAAAAGCAAGTAGTTTTACTGAAAACTGTACAGTAAAAACTAATATAGAGGGCCGGTGATATGCAGTGGTGTAATGTTTGCCTAGCATTCTTGAAGCCCTCAGTCCAGGCCCCACCACTGAATAAAGCCTAGTGTGAGGCTGAATGCTTGTAATCCTATCAGGAAAGAGGATCAGAAGTTCAAAAACTTGTCTTAAAAGGGAGGAGGGATACTAGGTGCCAGCTAGACGGCTTAGTGGGTAAAGGTACTAGTTACCAAGGCTGATGGACCCACATGGTAATCAGAGAGAACTGATTCCTTGAAAGTTGTCCTCTGACCTACACACACACACACACACACACACACACACACACACACACACACGCATGCACAAACTGTGGCAAGCACACTCAGACACATACAATAAGTAAAAACACAATCATTTTTAAACTCCTATTTTAAAAAATATATAACTTGAACATATTTCTGTTCTTGGGTTTCTAAAAAAGAAGAAAGCAAAGCACCACCCAGAACTGGATCCTTCGTGGCCAGGGTCACAGCAGAGTGAACTGCTTGGCAAACAAAAGGCGACACTATTTCCCTGCAGAGAATGCTGGCTCATGTCTTCCTCCTCTACATGCTCCCTCAAGCCAGACAGCACTTAAGTGAAGTCAAGGTCAGGGAGAAGGTTGGCCCCTCTGGGCAGAGCTCAGGCAGCTGTGAACTCAGGAGTAAATGCCAACACTGCTGGGTAATCGTTAACTGGCTTGGGGACCTTGGGAGGCTGGAAGGCAGGGCAGGCTCAAGTCCTGTCACCATGTCCACTCACCCTTCTTCACAGCCACAGTGAGGGTGGATGCGCTGCTCAGGCCCTGCTGGTCTCTCACGGTTAATCGGAAGTGGTGGGTACCCACCTGAAGCCCGGTGACAGTGGCTATGGCTTTGTCCACGTTCTCCATCTCCACTGGGCTGGGGCCTCTGTAAAAGGGGGATGTGTAGACAAAAGGTGGGGTGTGAGAACTGTGCTCTAGCAAAGGCTTCTCCTTCTGACTGTAGTAATCATAATCATCTGGTCTTCTACAAAGTTCGAAGGTAACTTCACATGCAAACAACTTTACGTGCATACATGTTCTCTAGCTTGGCATGAGGGCCAAAGCTAAAGCCTGTTTCAAACAAAATGTGTTGGATTCTGGGAAAAGGGTTTTCATTCTTTTTTCTTTTTCATTTCAGATGCCATTGAAATGATCTCTCTTTAGAAAATGAAACCTTAGAAACTGCTCGATTTCTGTTTTCATTCTTTTAAGATAGGGTTTCACAATGTCGCTTGGGCTAGCCTTGAACTCACAAGTTTCCTGCCTCAGCCTCTTAAGTGCAAGAATTACAAGCATGCACCACCATGCCTACAACATTTTTTATCAATAAGGCCCAGTTACTCTTTGCTTAAATCTTGACTCCCCAAGAAGCTCAAGTTGCTGTTGTTGTTTGTGAGTGCTCTATCTGCATACACCTGCACGCCAGAAGAGGGCATCAGATCCCAGTGTAGATCTGTTGTGTAGGTGGTTGCTAGGAATTGACCTCAGGACCTCCGGAAGAACAGACAGTGCTCTTAACCTCGAAGCCATCTCTCTATCCCCTCAAGTTGTTGTTTTATGCAGTCCTCCAGGGAAGGGGTGCTGTCAGCCATCAGTGACATGGCCTTAGGCTGATTCACTACCTGAGGTGCTCCCAGTGGTAGCAGACAATGCCGTGGTCATCACTGCTCCTGCTCCCGTCCAGCGTAGTACTCTGCACAGGGAAGAGCAGCTCCTGATTGGGGCCCACCACCGCCACAGGAGCCTGGTTGCTTTCTAGAATTGTAGACATTCAAGCGAGGAAAGAAGAGAGGGAGGAAGGGAAGCAGGAAGGGGAGGAAAGGGGGAAGGAGAGAAGAAAGAAGGAGGGAGGGAAGTCGAGGAGGAGGAAAGAGGAAAGGGAAGGAGGAAAAAAGAATGCAGGAGAAGGGAGAAAAGAGAAAACAGGACTCAGTTTGCATAGGCTTGTTCTATTTTATCTCTGGATCCCCACCACCTAGCACAATACTTGCTAAATAGGAAACCCTGAAAATATTTCAGTTGTAGGCTGGAGAGACCTGGCTTCAATTCTCCTTATCCACACGGCAGCTCACAAGTCAGTGACTCCAGTTCCAAAGCCTCCTTCTGACCTTCACAGACATTCATGCAAATCAAACACCCATACACATAAAAATAAATAAATCTTTTTTAAAAGGAAAATATTTCGTTTGGATGTTGGAAGAAAGAAAAAAAAAATCAAACATAACTCATGGTTTTATTCTTATGAATAGCTACTATTTCTGCCCTCACCCACGTGTCCAAGCCAACCATCACATAGCCACAAAGCCATTATCAAGGGGATGTAATGTCTTTACCCGCTGTCCTCAGTAAGCACAGTGGCTTCCTGATTTCCTGAGGGCAAACATCTACAAAGCCCCTCATGAGGAACTTCTCTCTCTGTGGGAACCCTCATTCTGGGCCTAGACCCCGCAGGCCTGGTTCTATCTCTTTTTTCACTCCAGTCACACTTTATTTTATCTATCTATCTATCTATCTATCTATCTATCTATCTATCTATCTATCTATCTATCTATCTATCTATTTTTAGTTCTTAGTGTACCCAGCCTGTGGCTTCTGGGAATCTGGTCCCCTCTTTCTCATACCTTTCTTCTTCCCCTCCACTCCCTATCCTTCTCCTCATCTGCTATGAGTATGGCAGCTGGGACTCCAGTAAAAGCTGTTTATGGCCCAAAGTGCTCTGTGGGCACTCTTTCTGTGGGCACCTTCCTTACTGAGGAATCACTTCTTGGTACCTCACATGCACTTGCCCCAGCCCTGGGAGGGCAGAGGCCAGGTTCATCTTCTTTAATTCTACATCCTTAGAGTCTGGCTCAGAGCACCTTTAACATCTTAGCTGAATCAGTTAGTGAAAAAACTGAATTAGCTGTCTTTTAGTTAGACTGTTCCCATCATCAGCACACTGGGTGATGGTTGTGGGAACAGCAAGTCTTTTTATAGGGAAGTTTTGAAGCCGAGACCACTGTAAGCACGGTCTAGCTGGTTACTTATGAGTCTCCTGTAGGCCAGTGTGGCAAATACCTAAGGTTTAATAGGATTAAGAAGTGAGTGGAACCTACGCCACCCCCCCACCCCCCACCCCCGGCCAGTGTCTGGCTGCATCTGAGTGTCAGCCAGTCTCCTCAAGATGCCCCAAAACTCTCCCAAGGGGAGTACAGCAGGCATAGGAGTTACCATATGACAAAGCAGAGACACGTGCGTACTGATGAGAACCCTCATCTTGTACTATGGTTTAGAGACACACGACAAGCTCCAGAACCTCAAAGGAAAATTGGCTTCCTATGCCACATCGGCTCTCACGTCTCTCATTTCCTGCCAGCTCAGAAATGTCGAGAGGCTACCACCGAGTTAGACACAGCTGAAGGCCGAGAGTCCAGTTATCATCTCTGAGGTCAAATCTAACTCTGTGTCTCACCTACCAGCCTGGACAGTCACGGCGACCAAAGCAGTGGACTGCTGTCCTGAGGAATCCGTCACCGTCAGCCGAAACGTGTACTCTCCTTCCTGCAGCTCAGACAAGTGAAGGTACGGGGTCTGCGCTCCCTATACAAGAGCAAAAAAAACGACAACAAAAAAACCATCATTAAAGAAGCATGAGGAAATGGTGCCATGACAAAGGCTTCTTTCTGGTTTCGTTAATGCAGAGAGATCCTGCTTGAAAACAAGCTGGATGCAGTGGTGCAGGCCTATCACGCCATCTACCTTGTGTCCTAGTTAAGATTTTTTTTTTTTTTTTTCAACTTGACACGAGCTAGGGTCATCTGGGGAGAGGGAACTTCGGTTGAGAAAATGCCTCTGTCAGACTGGCCTGTAGGCAAGGCCGTGGAAGTATTTTCTCAATTATTGACAGATTTTAGAGAACCCAGCCCACTGTGAGCAGTGCCGCCTCCTTTTCGGTGTGAGAAAGTAGGCCGAGCTAGCCATAAGGGGCAAGCCCGTAAGCAATGTGCCTCAGTGGCCTCTGCTGCAGTTCCTGCTCCCTCCCAGGTTCCTGTCTTGAGTTCCTGCCCTGACTTATCTTGATAATGGATTGCAACCTGCAAGGTGAGATAAAACTTTTCCTCCCCCACTTTACCTTTTACTCATGGTCTTTATCACAGCAACAGAAATCAACCAAAGACTGTTGGGAAGCTGAAGTTAGAAGGTGGCAAATTCAAAGCCTGCCAGGGATACAGAGTGAGTTCAAAGCCAATCTACATAACTTAGAAAGACCCTAGCTCATCAATGAAAATATAAAAAGGAATAGGGATATTGTTTAGTGGTGTGTATCCTCACATCACTGAAGGAATGTAAATTAATATGACCTCCGGAAGCGAATACAACAGTGTCAAAACAGGGCCCTAGAATGAAGTCATATGAGATTTCTGAGCGCTTGTGAGAAAAGACCAAGAAACCAAGACAAGAGTAACTTCAAAAGCACAGAACTGTTCCTCAATTACGCTCTCGTGCTCCTCCCAGGTGTCTCAGGGAGGAGTGAGTTTACTTCCGCTGATTCATCACAGCTGGCTACTGTTACTTGTTTATATGCTTCCATGACAAACCTGTTTTTGCCTCATGCGGCTTGTTTGCCACCTGTGGCTTGCCCTTGTGATTGCCTGCCTTATTCGTGACTCCTGTTAACCCTCAGAGTATAAATTGTCTGATGCTCTGAATAAAGTTGGCTACTGCGTGAGACCTTAGTCCTCCTCCTTTATTGGCTCCATTCCCCAGGGATCCACAGCTTCTAGAAGGGGAAACAGCGGTATCTGCTTACGGTGCTAGAGGAACACATCTTTCACCAAGCAAACCCGCTTCTCAGTATCTGTGTCTCGGAGAGCACGGCCTGCCACATGTGCGCCCTCACCAGATACCATTTGCAGTGGCCAGCCATGAGAACAATTTAGACGCTCGCCTCCAGGGGAATGCCTAACATCATAATGCTAGTCTGAAAGAGTGAGGGTGATTCACGGATACTAAAGTGACAGTGTCAGCCAGGCCTGCTGGTCTATGCTGACATTCCAGGCCTGGTCAGGTAGAGGTGGGAGGATGGGAGTTTAAGGTCAGACATGCCTTAAGTTCAAAGTGAGTGTGGGCTGCATGAGACCCCATTTTAATACATACATACATACATATATACATACATATACACATACATACATACATACATACATACATAAGCAAGCAAGCAAACTGAGTGGTGGTGGCAGCACACACCTTTGATCTCAGCGCTCAGGAGGCAGAGGCAGGAGGATCTCAGAGTCTGAGCTCAGCCTGGTCAGAGTGAAACCTGTCTCAAAAATACCTGTCTCAAAAAAGAAAAAAACAAAAACAAAAAACAAAAAAAAAAACTATGGGAGATGGAGAGATGGCTCAGAGGTTAAGAGCACTGTTTGTTCTTCTAGAGGTCCTGAGTTCAATTCCCAGCAACCACACTGTGGCTCACAACTATCTGTAATGAGACCTGGGTACTCTCTTCTGGCAGACAGGTGTACATGCAGACAAAATATTGTATACATCATAAAGAAGTAAATCTTTTTTAAGAATATGAGAGGGCGTATAAATGCTAGGTCCCTGAGAGGCAGCGTGAGTTGTTGGTTGGTTGCTGTTGGTCAGTCTGTTACGTAGTCATGCACGAAGAAGAAGAAATTAGATATGCTGACAGTGAAGATCAAACTTGCCCCAAGAAACTCAATGCTCCTCATTAGCAGGACGTAGTCTAGTCATGTCACCCCTTTCCTGTCTATCCTTTTTTCTCTCCTATATAGAGTTAGGGAATTGAAAGGGTGGAGAAAGGGTGGACAAGGGTTGAAGAAAAAAATAATCACAAAGTAGCAAATGCTGCCCACACAACCCAAATAAACACTTTCTTAAGTTGTCTTTCTCGGGTTTTGTCATAGAAATGAGACAAAGACAAGAATATACTCCATCTGGGTCATTAATTACAGTAATAGGAAGGTTGAGTAACCTCAAGTGAGGAGACAGCTTACCTACAGCAAAGGTTTCAAAGTTATTTTGTCTTTAGATAAATGCACTTAAAAATTTGAGCAGATTGGGCAGGAGCTATATGTAGTTTGTGTGGGAGGGCATTTGTCTAACATGTACAAAGCCTTGGGTTTGATCATCAGCAAAAACACACAAATTCACAAAGACACCTAAAGAGAAACTACTAGATGCTAGATGTATACAAGAAAGTAGAGATTTCAGTAAACGGAGCAGACAAAATAGTAACTGCTTTTCTGGTGATGATGTTAGATTAATGACTTCTAATGTTTCTCCAAAGACTAAGATACTGCTCTAACAAACACTGAGCCAGAGTTGTCCCCAACTGACCTCAAGACCTAGTTAAAACAATAGGATGGACTGCCCGTTTGTTGTCCTGTACTTTCCTGGGTGTATGTGGGCAAGAAATGTAAACCCGGGGGAGATCTGCGAGGTTCAATGCTCTTCCATTCATTTCATAGTTTCAGAAATTTAGAAAATAGATTTTCTGATTTAACAGCCTTTCTAAATCCAGGATGATAGATGAGTAGATGATAGATAGATAGATAGATAGATAGATAGATAGATAGATAGATAGAT